AATAATAATAATAATAATAATAATAATAATAATAATAATAAGTAATCGTTCTGTTATCATCCCTGATGGTCAGATATTCGAAGAGCGAATGGACACACCTCTATTTTGGTACTTGCACGCTGAAAGCAAAACGCAGATTGATGAAAATATAAAGCTAACCTTGGAAAACGCTTTCTAGTGCGTGTATTTCTTCTTCGGCAAAGTCGGTCATGAAATACTTAGGATTCCATTCTGGGTTCCAGCTTTTGAAGATCTGCAGGGCCTCACTTATTGCCTCCGTTGTGCTATACTGTACAACAAATGTACCGACCACCTGATAGCAAACGTTTGTGCGAACACAGAGGAAAAATAGGGGAAGGGCGTAACGAGTGGTTTTGTACGTTGCATCCATCAAACAGATGTCATTTCCATACTTTTGGAGAAGCCTTCTTTGCTGTTCTGTTTGACAACAAAACAACAGTGGTTGCTCGCCCTCTTGTGGTGAAGGTTCCGGTTCTTCTTCGTCGTTACCCGCGGGTTCCTCGTTATTGGTTGGAGAATCTGCATCCCCTGGCATCGTTTCTGGTTTCTGTTTGGCCACGGCTTGTCGTTTTCTGAAGTAGTACCTATCGGACTCTGACAACTTTCTCCACTTTTCGATGAGGGCCGCGACATTGTCCTGATCAAGGGAGGCGAGGCGATTAGCAATCTTGGCCTTGCTGATGTGGTAATCCAGGTCTTTTCTTCGGGGATAAAACCGTCTGCGATAGGTTGGTGGGGGTTTCTGGTCCTTAAACAGTTCATTTTTAACGAAGTTGTCAAGGTGTCGTTTCATCTCCCCACGTTTTCTGACGCCTTGCATGGTTAGCTGCCTTATTTTTTCGGCAATTCTGTCGTCCAATGCTTCCCTTAGTCCAGCTGCCTATAAAGAACAAGAATCATGTTTCTGTTTAGCACGTCTTAACACTGCCTTGATAGGTGTGTCTATAGGTTCAGGCAGTTCTAGTTACCTCTCCTGTGACATGATTCTCGTGCTCGGTCGGTTTGGGTAGCTTTATGTAAAAGCGTTCTTCGGTCTTGAGATCACCACTGTTCTGGAGAACACCTCGAAGTGTCTTTGACGTGGCCTTTAAGTCTCGTTCATTGCGATTTCCTTCGACTACCTAGGACAATCGGTAAAAGGGTATTTATCACCATAGGGAACTTATTCTAGCTTTGAAAATTAATATAGCAGCAGTATATCAATCTGTTATTTCACGTACTCATACTTCTCCCTTACAACTACCTGAAAATCACAGAATTTAACGACGTGCTTCACGTGTATGACGGCTGGGCAGTCCAGCTTCTTAGTTGGTTGTGTGAGATTTCTCCTTTTGGCAAACAGGTGGTCTTGTGCCTACATAATGAAAATATAATGGATCAGTGGTTGTGTTCAAGGCAAAGTAAAATCTATATATCTAAGTATATCCATATCTATATTTATATCTATGTCTATTTCTATGTCTATGTCTATTTCTATGTCTATAGAACAGTATGACTATCTCTTTATACCTAGCTAGCTGTCCGTTTTTTGACCAGCAAGCAAGTGCAACTTACGTTTTCTTTATTAACATGTTCTTTCCTTCTTTGTTTGGAAGCCTTGTTGAGATCGGGTCCCTGGTGACACCAAAGTACCTTTTCGCCCAATATGATAAAAGGAACCCCGTCGAAGGGAATGCCTAGACCAGAATTGGTAGTTTGTGGGCTCTGGAAATAGACC